AGCAACATGACGGCATCGAGTCGAACCCAGGGAATCGGGGTGGTGACGAGGTTGGTGAAAAGGAAGACGAAAAGAGCACCGAGCAATTCACCCAGGTTAGAGCCACCAACAATGATGTTAGCCCAAGCAGAGTGACCGAGGTAACGGCGGGCGACCGCAGGAGCAAGGCCGTTCTCAAGATAGCGATGCCCGTAGAAGGCAATTGAGTAACCAGGGATAAGCCAGATGAAGCGTCGGTTGGTGAGAAGAAGCTTAGATCCGGTCCAGATGGACTCGCCGAAGAGGTAGAAGGAGACAAACACTGCCTTGATGTAGGTTGGTCGCTTGCCCATGAGCGGTGGAGGAGGAGGCTGGAAGGTGTCTGCCTCCTTAATGAAGAACCAGGTTGCACCAGCCATGGCGAAGAACACCGGGGTGATGATGAATGAGTAGTTGTTCCCCAGGGTCGGGATGAGGGCCAGAGCAGTGCAGAATGCGCTAGCTGTGCCTGAAGTCTCGTAGAAGACGTGGACCATGGCATCGAGTCGACGAAGCTTTTGAATGTTTCCTCCGACGATATCGCGAGGGATGATACGGCGGATCAGCTCGACCATCCCGTAGACAAGACCAGTGACACAGTAAATGGGTATAATACCGTCGGTGTTGTAATCTCCATAGTAGTGGAAATCCATGGCTGGGTGGTCGCCGCGGAACTCTGGTGGCATGATAGTTCCGCCAGTGGCAGCGTCCACGACCATGAGGATACCGGTGAACAGGCCGAACAAGACAACAGAAACAACCAGGACAAGCCTGGCTGGAGCCCGACGGACCAAGGGTGCGATCATGATCGAACCCACGCACTGGCAGGCCTGGTTGAGGCCGCTAAGAAGTCCAACTCGCTCGAAGGTCTTGGCCGGTCTATGATTCAAGAAGGCATCGTAGTCGTACCGGTTTGTAGCGAGGGCGAGGATAGAGCCATTGAAGGCCTCGAGGCCGAACTTGTAGAAGGCGATACCTAGAATGTATAGGAAGATGTTACGACGCTCGACTGCGTTGAACATGCCCCAGCTGCTGCGCACGCTCTCTCTGACCGTGGCTAGAATCATGATGTGCAAAGTGATCCTGTTGATTATGGAGGTTGTGGAGTTGCTGCTGCTGAAGGCCCCGGTCTCATCTCATGGGCTGGCTGTTGTCTCAATAGAAGGGACACACACACACAGAGAGAGAGAGAGAGAGATGAGCGAGAGTGAGAACGTTCTCAGACAGACTTCACCATCGACGAGCAGACGAAGCAACGACCATCAAAGAGGAAACGGAGAGAGGGAATGTTCAGGAGGCAGCGGGACAGCATCAGAGTATATATTCGCTGATTAAAAAGGCGTTGGTCCCTGGGGCTCTGGGTCTTCTGATGACGGTTTTTCCATATCTGCATCGCAACCAACACCAGCAGCAAGCCAAGGGCTTCGAGCTCAAGCACAAGAAAAGATAAAAAAAAAAAACGAGCGAGAGCAAAGACGGGCAAAAAAAAGAAAAAAGAGCGAATACCACGCCCAATGACGGACAGGATGCCATGCCCGTGCAATCGGGGGAGCTTAATGGGCCCAAGTAAGGCCTTTTTCCCTCGAGTTCTTAGCCTGCCTGCCGGGGGATAAGACGCACCCATGTCGACTCTCCATTTTGCCTTGGTGGAGGTACGCCTCGAAGTGGATTGCGGGAGACGCTTGGAATTTCCGTCAGCGAGCCGGTGATTGGGCGACAGCAGCATATCTTCTCAAGTGGTGAGCAGCGAGAAGGGGAGAAGGGGAAGGTAGAAGAAGCAAAGGGCTTGCCGGCGAAGAGGCAAAGCTTGGATCGACGGCTGTGGCAGATTCGGGGAGGCTGGCAAGAGGCTGCCTATTGGCCCTGCGGCTAACTCGCCTGCCACCATAAATAAACCATGGTGATGATAGATAGATAGCACCAGCGCTCGCGCTCTTCCTTCTCGCTCGCCCTGGCAGCGCCTTTCGGCATCGAGGCTCCGGGCTAGACGTCTCACTCTCTCTCTCTCTCTGCCTTTGTTTTCTCCCAAAAGGAAAGATGGCTCGGCTGGGTTATTTGTTATTTTCTGGTGGAGTACGCACTTCGGTACGGATAGTAATAAAAATACTTTTCTAAGTATGGAGTACTGAGATGCGTATCCTTTTTTTTCCTCGTAAAGGTTAAGACTTTCAAGCCAGCGTGCCGGTAATGCGTGCTCGATGTATATACTCCGTACGGAGAGTGTAATGTATATATAGAACTGGTCATTGCACTCTTGCTGGTCTCCTCCCTTGAAAAAAAAAAAAAAAAAAAAATCCCCCGATTATGGGACTGGCCCTTCTTCTGTGGCTGTATCAGGGGTCGTCCAGAGGGCAAGCCTGTCGTGCAACAGCCCATCCATTCGACTTTGGTTTGAGCCCACGCCGGGGATGCTTCGGCCACGCTGCTCACTAGGCCATGCGGAACCAGCTTCTGATTCGAGGCACGGCGCATATCGCGCACATCTGCCCTCATTGAGCTTCTAATTTGGGCGTTTCTTGGTCGTTTTGCGAGTCGACTTGGCCCATTTTTTATGCTCGGCGTTGGCTGCAGCGAAGGTTGGAGGCGACGACCGGCCGGGGAGAAGGGAGCAAATCTTCGACCACAGCAGCCGCACGTGTCGCCCATAGGCCAAGGTACCTCTGATGTACCTCGCAGTAGTCCGATGTATGGGGATGTACATGCATCTACCTCTTGGCGATGCAGCGGCGATGCGGCCGCTAT